ATCCACTAATGTGTGTAAAACCCACGAACTCAGATTTCACAGATGTATAACTCACAGTCATAAAGCATCCACCCACTCAGGTTATACATCTATTGAAATGCCAATCAATCTTGCCAAAATATCCATATAAACAAATCAATTTTGCTTCTTAACAATTCGTATTAATTAAATTTCATACATATCTTATCCAAGTGATTTAAGTAAACAGGTTTTCGGGTAAGCATTTTATATCGTCGCAATATCGTTTCCACCGATTTCAGCTGAATTCCCAGTCGACTTGCAATTATACCTATCCACGCGTCGTCAACGGAAAGTGATTGGGTGAACAACATGCCTAAAGCAATTTTTTCAGTGTTTTCGAAACTAATTATTAGATAACACCCCATCAAATAAGGAACAAATTCGGGCCAAGGGACTTCTGATTTGAATACACTCCACTTCTCCACCTCATTTCTCCCGAAACGAAATACTTTATTTCCATGAAGAGGACGACCGTGGAAAAGGACCTGCCTTTCCATGGGGCTAAGATCTAGAAGGCTACGTAGCAAACGTCTTTCACAGAACGGTACATCATCGTCTACGAAGACAAAGATTGGTCGACTCTTTCGACAAAATGTTGCAGCCCAAGTAAAGACATATTGGGATTTCAGGGAGAGATTGAAGTACGTATCTTCATAGTCACCAAGAATAATATCCGAATGTGTTTCCATTTCTCGTTTCAAATTTTCCGCCATCTCTTTAAGTCCCTCAGGATTCAGAAATTCTCCACCACTAACATCAAGTCGAATCGTTCGATTTCCTCGCATAAAAATATTATCCTTTTGCTGTCTTGGAATACCAAGTGAGAAAACAAGACCAATTCGAATGCCATAGAGTTTGTGAGTGGAAGGATGGCTGAGATAGGAATAAAGTCGTCGAAATTCCCTTCTCTTATTGAAATTTGCTATTCCAGATTTTACGACAATAATAAGATTCAGTTCTTGACTACTCGGATTCTCTGGATTGCATACCTGGCTGCTAATTGAAAGATATCGAAATTTGGGGAAATTTATTGGTTTCTAGAAAGATATTTATTAATTAATGTACAAATTCACTTACTTCATTCAATGGTTTTTCGTCAATAAGTCGATTGATTGCATCGGAAATATTGATCGCTTGTGGATAGACTAAGGTGACTCGAGGATCAATAGGCAACTTCCAGAGTTTATCTGGAATATCTATTAAATCCCTAAATTTGAGCAGTCTATTCTTAGCTCCATCCTGAAGAATATATTGATCAAGTATATTGTACTCTGAATAATTCTTCAATTCGGTTCGATAATTTAGGTGTAGTTCATACACTCCATTCAGTTTCTTTATATCGAATGGCCATTTTTGCACCACTCTCCTATCTCGAGACACCGTATTCTCCAATATATCGTATCTTTTGAGAAAGTAGAATCGTAAACATGCCCATAAAATTAATACACCAAATAAACCGATAAGAAGATAAGTAATCCGCTTCATTCTCCTGCTATCCTAATAACCAGTATCTACTCGCACACGAAAACGCTGAATTTGTAAGTCAATAATTGAGTGAGCGTGGGTTCATCGAGGCCTATTAACCAGTAGAAATTACTGAATAAACACAATATTATTGGCTAATACTATATTCGGTGACTAAAAGGTCGTTTTAGGTATTCACGGCATAAATAGTAAAGAAAAATTTCAGGAAAAGCATCAGCTGCAAATTTCACCTTATGTAAAATGAACTACTATCAATTGCAAATGTAATAAGACATTCGGTACTGATCGATGATTTTAAAGTAATTGTGGTGCCATCTCCTCTCGTTTAAACAGTGCACATCGATTTATAAATATCTCTTTACTTTTTTATTATGGTGCAATTTTTTCCATATAAGCCTTCACTAGTATAAAACAGTTGTGGGACACGTTATCGCTATGCGCGTCATCGCATTCTGCACACCAGGATTAAGAAGTGCGGCCGTACAACTCTATGTGCAGCGACCGTACAAACAGTGGCCAATCAGTAGCCTCCGTTTAACCTAATCCCCCCATCCTTCGCCGTACAACTCTATGTGCAGCGACCGTACAAACAGTGGCCAATCAGTAGCCTCCGTTTGTTTAACCTAATCCGCCTCCTGATAGTGATTAAGACCCCTCAGTGTGCTCTTTATCCACAACAACACTACTGTATAAAAGTGTTCCGTCTTATACGTCTGTTTCCTTTATAGAAACTAAAAAACGTGATCACAAGTATTGTTTGAGTTCATTTTGGGTGAGCACTACCTTGTCAATTGGTAATCTGACTTTTTTCAACTGCTATGCAAGTCTGTATCTTATAGACGGGTCTATTAAAGTATATGGAGGGAATGGTGTTGTCGCTCATTGTTTAATTGTGAATTTTCCATTGCAAAAAAGGAATCTAATTATATTTGTCAATGGAAAAAATAAAATGTGTTAGAGTGCGACTTCTTGGATTGTCAATCTAATTCAATTACCACCTTAAACGGATTGAAAGCTTAACTCCAGTCAATGGCTCTAATAAAGCATGACACAAATTAAAGATCTCTTTTCATTTAAATCTCAATATCTCCGATCATGTGCAGTTGATCTAAGTTGAAGCTTAAATGCAGGTATACATTGAACTTGAACTAACAATGAATTGACTATCTTGACAAATTAAATACTTTAAATCTCATTTATTACCACTTTCCAAAACCAATGGGCAGTCTATAATTGAACCTCTTGGTATTAAAATACCCTAACAGCACACACTGTTCTATTTCTGAATGAATATTGAACCTAATTAACCATCAATAATCCAGTGTACGAGGTGAGAATAGAAGTTGGTTTGAAAGGCATAGAGCTAACAATACTATATCTATAGCATGGTGAAGATTGCACAATTAACATCCCATAAAATTCATACTAAATATAATGGAGCACATAAAGTTATCTGGTTGTATAATTTTGAAACCCCACTTGAATGTTTCAATGGAATCAAGGCATTTATTCCGATGAGAAATTCAATTATTATATAATCAATATTTGAATTCGGACCATAATCCACACGCATGGACATACTTCTATAGGTGGTTCCAGAAAAGCAAACTGTCTAATTTCAATCCGAAATATCAGATGTATGCTGTCAAGGTGTAGGAATGATTGTGAAAAATTAATAACTATTCGCATTTGTCGAAATTTGTATTTTATTCCAAGTATTCTACCCATTATTGTTGAAAATAACGTTTATTGAAAGAAGTAATTAAATGAGCTTTTATGTAACACACAAATCTCAGAGTTCTCGACGTTAAAGGTGGAATGAGTTTTCCTTCTCCCTTATTTACTGTGTCAATATTATTTTACTTGTGCTCTAGTTAGAGTTGAACGTGTACCTAACTGCGATGATACTGGCCTGCTTAATTGGCTTATTTTTTAAAACATAGTTCAACGAGATTTACAAATTGAATGGACTCCATTGATTTCATCAGTTGGGAACAGCAATAGTTCAATGCGTCACCTTCACGCAGGGACTGGAAACCAATAATTGAAGATAGGAGAACCATTATGTACAAAATAATTATCGTGAGAGAGGGAGAAATTGGTAGAATTTCTATTACAACCTTCAAACATTTAACGATATTGAGCATTCACAAGTAATTATTAATTTCATACTAATTGAATTGTACAAATCGTTATTAGGCTAACGGTCATACACCTTAGGAATAGATATAGAACTCACCGTAAGGAAATTCTACTTATAAGCAAGAAGTGCCTTCCTAACCATGCACGGGAGTAAATATGCGTTAGAATGACACTCAAAACTTATGTGTTTAATACTTGTAATTTCAGAAAATAAATGCTCCGAAAGCATTACAATTCTATAACAAGTGTTAAATAGTTAATTCACATTCATAAAGGCCTGTGTGAATGAAGTACTGATAATTCATAAATTAGTACAGAAGGTAAATTAGACTGTTAAATTGACGCCGATTTGTGAATATCATTGTCAAGTTAAATAACATAGGGAAACGAAGAAGTAATTCAGACCATGCGATCTATCCATCATACAGACAATCCGCCCATTTAGATAATAAGTACGGGAAAATCCCAAATAACATAAAAGTAATGAACTGCCTTATTAGCTACAATAAAAGATCATTTGAAGACTTATTTTAAACACATGTGCGCACTTATTATTGGATAATATATTGATTACATCATGTATTATCGATATATTAGCATTTTTGTCATATTTAAAAATAAATAGTAATAGCAATAAAATAAAAAACACTAACAAACAGCGTACACATGTCAAAATTATTTGCAACATTCATTAACTTGAAGATACTTAATTTAATAACAAACTTTATGTAAAATTAATTTAATTATTCATGTTTTTAATGCACATCTACCTCTAATTCATAATGGGCTTTCGTTTCATAAGTGGTCTATATTGGCTTCAAACAAAAAATAATTAGGTTTTATTTGTATTGAAACAAAATTCTTTATATCGCTTAAAAATCATTGAAAGGTCATACGAACCCAATCAAATGCATACCTTCTCGATACATTAACGCGTGTTCCTTGTGCCGATCAGCTACTTGCGCGTCTTTCAGGGTATGATTTTAGTCTTACATAAAGTGTAAATGCACGAAGCATCCACAGGATTACCTATTAATATCAACATATCTACGATTGGATATTGCAGTCCAACTTATTCACCTCAATTTCGCGTTGGCAAATCATGTCTTATACACCGATTCATGAATCTTACCCCATACACCGAGGATCATCTCTCTGTTATCAGCAATTCTGACTACTGTGGAAGTATTATAGATGGAAGTCAATGGATTTACTGGGGTTCTAAAATTATACAACACGATAACAAAAGATTCCGCTTGCGTATAATCGTGCAATGCGATTTTATTGACGACCATCCATTCAAGTCATTAGGACCCTAATCAGAATCTGATTTAGATCGATGTTTTGAAAGTATGATTCGCGTTGATTCACCCAAAACGGCCTATGTTTGCAAAGACCAAGTTGGAAATGAGTGGAATTACTCTCGTGAAATTCTTGAGCCTGGAGATTTCATGGTGGATGTTTTTATAGTAGTGGTGGATAGTACTCTCACTGGTGAAGCTGCTGTCTCACAACAAAAGTTTCTCAAAAAGGCACTTACAGAACTCCGAAAGCGTAGAATTCCCTTCGTTTTCGCCTCTTCGAAACACGATTGTGAAGTGTCTCCTGAGAATAAGGAATTTTTGAAGCATCTGCTTCATGAAGTCTGCAAGTCGCTAAAGAAGACACGATGTTGTAGAGTCGAAACTTCAGCCAGACTCAACATCAATGTTTATCAAGCATTTCTTTCAGCCGCATTGCTGTGCACGCCCTCTTCCAGTGAGATAAATTGCATGTATTTTCCACACTATCGGTCTCCAGTGAGATAAATTGCATGTATTTTCCACACTATCGGTCTCTACATGTAGTCCTTATATGACCTATATTTGTCATTATTTTAACAATTTCTAAGATATATTCGGATTTCGCAGGAAATGTAGTCTCTTTGACTCGTCGTTATAATTTTTCTACTTAGGTATTTAAAGCATCTCGTGGCTGTCAACGGCTAGAAGAAATCGAAAATCCTCTATTCTGTATGTGAGTGAGCCAATGTTTTCTTTCCCATTTTGTCTTACCTTTAAATTTCTCCCAAAGATGTCTTCTTTTTCCTTCATACGAGGAAGGTGTCTCGGTCATAATGTTAATACGAAACTCACTTTTGTATTCCACAGTGAATACAGTGAACTCAACATTTGACTGTAGGATAAATTAATGCGTGTCAAATATTCTTCATAAGTCAAGTTCGTGGATGCTTACCTTGAACGTTTTCAGCCCTCCAAGTACTTTCCATCAAAGCATTGCACGATTTAATTTCCTTCGAGTGAAAATGATTTACCTGGAGTTTGAATTATATGCTTTAAAGCTATCAATTGGCATGCTCGTCTCGTATTGAAGCGTTGGAAAATATGTAGATTTTTTGGTATATTTGCCATGAAGGTGTTAACTTTTTTCATTTTTATTTAAAATAACTTT